TATATATATTTATAAAAACAAGAAAATAATGCATTAAAACAGAGATGTGCAAATCCCAGGAGCTCCGTGTGCTCCTTACAAATGACAGCTGCCTCCTAACTTTTTAATTTTTCTCTAGTCTAGTCCTGGAGCTGGAAAAGCATCTGTACTTGTACCGAGTACAGTACTTGGTATCTGCACATCCCTAGTATTTATTCATTAATAAATGTTATTTTTTAAATGCAGGCAGTGGCCTGGTAATCAAGCTCTTGCAATCGCACCCTACAATAGAGCTTTGGCTGGGAGAGGGAGAAGCAGCAGCAGAAGCACAATTAGTTGTGCTGTGCTGCTCATTTGCGAATAAGGAACATGCTGAAAGGTGAAGAGAACAGAGAGATGAACTCATTAGTCTGCTGCTTTTCCTTTCACTGCCCAGTCCCAGGGTGGGGAAGGGACAAAACCCTCGGTACATATCTGTTCTTTCTTTTAGCCCTAGCTGTATTTATAAAGTTATTTTCCTGCATTTGGCCCTAAACAATTACTTTGGACGGTTTAAAAATATATTTTCTGTGAATATATTTGCAGTGCTTCCTCCAACTCCCCAGCAAGGGGTGTGTGCAGTATGCATGTCAGTAATATGTCAAGTGGTGGAAAGACCAGCACTGGTTACAAAAATCCAACAGAATAGGATCACTGTCAAAGTGCTGGTAGGAGGGGCAAGGGAGTGGCCTAAAATAGAAGCTATTATTGCTGTCCGCATGTGTTGTAGGACCTACTACCAAGATACTGAAGCTGGGCCCAGTGGGAGATTCCTCCATCCACACAGTTTAGCGTAGATGGAAGAATCTGTTGCACTTTTTCCATCTGACCATAGAAAATCTGCTGATAATCTATAGGTGTATGGCCAGCTTAAGGGGAAAATCTCCCCAATAGGACCCAAAAGCAAAGGTGTTTGAATACAGATACAGTTTAAATACACTATATGGCCAACGGTAAATTAACTCCCCACCAAATTATTCTGTTCAGGTGTTCCCAGAGAAGGGCTCTGTTAATGCTCTGGCATACATACATTTTAGACAATTGTGTACTTACAACCTTGGGACAACAGTTTAGGGAAGGCCCTCATCTGGTGCCCCTGTACACAAAGCTAGGTCCATAAATACATGGTTTGAGGAGTCTGGTGTGGAGGAACTGAGGTGACCAGCACATAGCCCTGACCTCAACTCTACAGTACACCTTTGGGATTAATTGGAATGCAAATGGTGAGACAGAATGTCTAGCTCCATATCAGTACCTGACTTTACACATGCCCTTTGGCTAAATGGGCACAGATTCCTACAGACATACTCTAAAATTCTGTGGGATTTTGTGGATAACCTTTCCTAAAAATAAGTCATCAGCAGCTGCTCCCCTCTATCCCTCTTCGCAGGTTAATATGATGGTCACATTATGCCAGAGTGCTTGATAAATAGCCTTCTGACCCTAATCTTTCCAGAGACCATGAATAGATGAATGACATTGTGACACAGAGCAATGTTGACTGCAATCTATTAGTAGGTGCAAATTTACAGAATGGTGAGAGGCAAAGAGCAATACACAAAGTGAAATTACCCATCCCACCAATTGAAGATCATATTCCTCTCATCTAACTGCAGGAAATGAAAATATCACTGGTTACTAAAATCTGCTGATCATCTGTGTGCTTTGCATAGTCAGGAAGAGGAGGAATGTCTTTATGTAGACATATAATTACATGATGCAACAACCGTATATCCTGTCCCATTGAACCAACCAAAAAATAACCAGCAACTGACTACTGCACATTTTGCTAGGCAAGACTAGAATGTACTTCAGAGGGAAAAAAGTCCATCGTGAACCTACTGACCAGTTCTACATTTGAGAACTCCTAGAATCCGTGCCAGCCAACGGCGCTACTCTAACGTAGTGATTCCCAGGCTCTACATCTAAAATATTAACAAACATGTTAAATACATCAAAGAATGTTAGAGTTCAGGAGGAAAGTTATTTCTAAGCACACAGAGCACGGCAAATAACTGAATACAGCTGGACTGATGGGGGAGAATATAAGTGGAGCACACTGTCTTCAGAAGTAGGTGAGAATGAGCTAAAAAAAAATAACTAGATAGAAAATGCCAGAAACATCACCTTGAGAAAAATGCAAGGGCATATACAGTTCTGTACAGTACTGAGCAAAAGTTTCAGAAAAATGCTGTAAAGTGCTTCCAAACTGAACACAATGAATAGTTCTTGTCAGGTAAACCACAAAGTGGTGTGTACATTTATGTTAAAGGATTATTAAACCCTCATTTGTTTTTGCATATATCTGCTAGCAAGCAGTAGATATATGCAAAACGATAAAAAAAAAACATTTGATGGGTTAATGCTCACCTGTGTCTCCACCGCGTACTCCCGTCCGAACATCTGAACATTTTTCAGGGTGCTCCAAACTATCTTGGGGCGGGCGCAATGCGCAGATCAGATGTTCGGTCAGGAGACGAGGAGAGGCACAAGGTAAGTCTGTGGAGCAGCGTGCACCCGCACAGACTCCGTGGGACATCAGAGAAGGGGAGGACAGAGGAGTCAGCGCTGGATCGGAGACCCGTACCAGCGCTGGAGGGAGAGCTACAAAATACAGGAAAGAAGAAGATGATCGGATTAAGAGGCATCATTTATGGTAAGGACTTTTGCCCTTAATGTCACTTAAAATGTATGTTACTGTATATAGAATTATATATGTTATTTTTTTAAATTTGGTTTAGAAACCTTTGCAAGTCATATTTTGCACAACTGTTGGTGGCTTTTTAGACAACTGACACCGTTATGGGGATCCCTGCCTTTTCTGAAGTCTCTAAGCACTGATTTTCCACAGCCATCTCTCATTTTGTCTCTATAACTTAGTGCAGAAGCTGAAAGATGCATCATACTAACTTCCTTTTTCAACTGAAAGATGTCCAGTGACACCATCTGATCAGACTTGGTAGAAACATGTGGGACCCATCCACATGCTGTGAAGTCTAATCCAAATGGGCTTCTTGTAGCTATAAAGCCATACCTCTGACGTGGAAACAAGGTCAAGCAACTCACTTTTGGAGGAAAACAAAAGCACTGGTGTGCAGAATAATAGCAACAGGTGCAATGGACTGATGAGTCCAAAGCTGAAATATTTGCATGTAGTAGAAGGCAGTTTGTTCACTAAAGGACTGCAGAGTTGTACACTGATGAGTGTCTGTAGGCAACAGTGAAACATGGTGGAGGCTCCTTGCAGGTTTGGAGCTGGGAGTTGCAGGATTTGGGAAATTGGGCAGAATTAAGAGTCTCCTTCATGCTGAAACATACAAGCAGATATTAATCTATTATACAATACCATCAGGGAGGCATGTGTTAGTCCATATATTATGATTTTAATAGCACAATTCTAGCAGTGGGTCCTTTAAAGAACAGATGCTACATTTGACACTGCGTATCCTTTAAAGGAGGTAAGCAATGCATGGCCTTGTGGACAAACTTATTCTACTTTTTAACATGTGTGATTGATTTCATTCCAGGTAAACTGCTTGGTTACTTTACAGACCGAGGAGTTTCAGAGTATTAGAAGTTGGATCTCTGGTTTTATTTTGAGTGCTTTATTGCTCTGTTAAGCCTGAGCGGTACATTGATGTTCTTAACAACCAGTACCGAGAGCTCAGCTAAGGCATTTGCTCTAATCTACTTGATATTAACCAGGTGTGAATATGATTTGTGGTTTCCAATAAAGAGATATAGATCTTAAGTTGCAGAGTTATTGACCTGAAATGCTGTCTCAATAACAGAAGTTTTGCAATCTCTTCCAGACATAATAAAATGAAAGCAGTAAAGAGCTGGCAAAACTATATCTGCCATGTATGAAAATAAACCATAATGTAAACATGACCATGATATTAACCATTGGCAGGTATTGAACTCATAGGTGAACTTCAGGCAAACAGCTAAATACATGCTTAAAACACACAAAGTAAACTTTCCCACAAGCCAAAGGATTTGTAATGCTCTCCAAAAACTTTTTCATACACCTCTGCTAGATGACACGGCCAGGAAAGTGACAACACTCTGTTAGAGTCAAAGAATGCATTGGTGTCACCTTCCCAATCACAGCCTGTTGACTGGGCAAAGGAGGAGCAACACCATACTCATATCTCTGAATAAGCAGGGTCTTACTGGCGCCTAATATTGTCCATTCCCCATTTCAGAGTGCTGCTGTACTGGGATGACAGGGGGATAATATCAAGACAGAGTCAGGTACTTCAAAAATATTTAATTACCTTTAAAGGAATATACAACCAAAGATTTGTTTTTGTTTTTTAAATCTGCCTGGAGTTCAGCTTTTAGGTTTATCTGTGTTTTTACCTATTCAGGGCAAAACAACAGGTTAATTTTAATGCATATCTTCATAGACAGATAAACCTTCTGTCCTTTTGCTCCCTTGCCACTCTGTTCAGACACCGGGAATGAAAGAAAAGCCTGGTGCAAGTTATGAGAATCTAGAGTCATAACTTACACAGGGCTACAGACCACCCGGGACAAAACCGATTGGTCCACAATGTCACATTCCAAGAAATACTATCAGGGTTATTCACAAAAGGGTGAAGAGTTTGGAGAAGGAATGATAAGTGAACAATCTAGGACAACATAGCTGAACTGGAAAGTGAGCTGAACTGGAGAATTTTTCAAAATCAGCTATGTTGTCCTAGATTGTTCTCTTCTCCTGCCTTCTCCAAACCCTTCACCCTTTCTTTGATAGCATTTTCTTTGGTTCCCAGCACTTAACAGGTAGGATGGGGACTGAAGTAAAGTATATACTGGGATTTGTGATGGGGATTTAAAAAAACCTGTTGCTTTGTCCTGAAGTTTGCTTTAAGCATGTGTGCACACAGGTACTACTGGTTCTGTTTCATCCCAACTCCATAAAAACTGGAGGTTTGGAGGCAATACATTGCTGACATTAAAGGCTGGTACCAGAGGAAGATCTCATCAAAGAAGTATATCAACCATTTTGTTTGCCCCTTTTACAGCATGAATCTTTAAGTCCATAGGTTCACACGGAGTGATCTGGGATTCCGTTATTGTACATGATATGGTAATATGCGGCTTGGAATAGATCACCGTCACTGAACACATCTATCCTGCGTCCAGCTACAATCATCTATTCCAAATTGCACATAATAATATCATAAACAATTACATGTGGACTGCCACTTACAGAGGTGACCACTGTCTCCCGGTCATTAACTTCAATGAGTACAGCAGCCGCATCTAGAAGGGGACACTTGGCATTCCTGCCGTGGGAACGCAGCCCAAGTGAAGGAGGCCTAAATGTCCAGGGAACATTGCAATCTTGATGACTACATTTTTATACCAGCGTTTCAGACCAAAATAATATTTGTTATTGGTAGATCAAGTAAAAATAAAATTACATGCTAACAATGAGAGCATTTTAACTTATTTTACTACACCCTAATTAATTAGAACAAATAGACTTGCAAATGTTCACAAAATGTATGTTTGTATTCCAATTACAAATAGATGTAGGTTTTAAAACTTTGGATTGCTTTTGTATCTGGTACAATTATCACAACTCCAGTATTAAAGGAAAACTATGAGGTGAGTGCTTTTCACTCACCTCATAGTTCTATCCGACCTGTGACAATGAGACTGTCACAGGCCGGCTCAGAAGATCGGGAGGTGAGCGAACACATACCGTTCGCTCACCTCTCGATCCTGTCACGGTTCTCTGCAGTGACAGGGGAGGGGCTGGATTCCCACCTCCCCGCTCCGATCCGCCAGCGCTGACTGGCGTAACGGACGAGGCGGGTACAGCTGGCTCTGCCTCTAGGTAGGCAGAGCCAGCTGTCAGTCACGCAGCTGGGCGGATCCAGACATAATTGTCGGGATCCGCTTCAGCTGCGGCGTCTTAGTATACCACGAGCTACAGCTCGCGGTATACTGAGCCTAGGGTGACGGGAGGACGCTAGTTTGTGTCCTCCCGTTACCCTAAGGAGAACTATGGGGAAAAGCCTAAACCCCATAGTTCTCCTTTAACTACAACTTCCCATTGTAATTCTTTAAAATTATGCTGTATAGGTCATATAAGGAAAAGATAAAAAAAAAATTTCATGAAGAAGTTTTAAACAATTTGTGGAGAAAAAACAAGTGCTTTATGGTATTAAAACATAAAAAAAAATCTTGACTGAAAATGAAGAATCCACTTACTGCTCAAATCTTCTGTTGCGAAGGTCACCGTTGTTAATCCGGACGATACAGTCATTCTCATGGAAAAGGTTCTCTCGTTCAGCTTTGCCACCTTTCTCTAGTCGTTTTACTAATAACCCGAGTGTTCTGCAACATTAACATTGCAAATGATTACACATGCAGGACTGGGGTTGCTACTTAATGGCTTGTGCAGATGACAATATTCATACAATATATGAGCAAAGCAAAATATTAAACATTCCCTCAAGAAAACAAGGTTAAACTAGCAAAAAGAATAACCGCTTAACCTTTTTAATAATTTTTTGCACACAGCTATAAATATCAAATAAAATCTCTTCACAGAGCTACAAAACATATTAAAAGCCTAAAATAAGCAAAAGCGTAACAATTATTATACAAACTGTCATAGTAAAACTCCCCATTGTTTAAAAGTGAATAAAGCCAAACCTTATTTTCGGCTTTACTTTTCTCTTTTGGGTCTCAGGAGCACATTTACTTTACTTATTCCTGTGACCCAAAATCAGCATATAGCAGCCTACTGCCCGCTATATGCTAACAGCGCAGAACCAGGATCCATATTGTCAGGATCCACCTGCCTGATTGACAGTTGACTCTGCCTCTCTAGAGCTGGAGCCAGCTGAGCCCGCCCCGGCCTGTCCCTTCACTGTTAGCATGGGAAGAACAGAGCAAGGGGAGGAGGAAATTCCTACAGAGAGGAGACTGCAGCTGTCAAGAGAGCTGAGCGACCAGTTTCCCATGCTGGCTCTAAGTATTGGTAAGGAGTATAATTAAAGGAGAACTATGAAAATCACTCATCCTCATAGTTCGAGCCGACGTGTGACAATGAAATAAATCGGGAAGTGAGCAAACACATACCATCACTCGCTCACTTCTTGCTTCTTGATCATGTCCCTGCAGAGAGCAATGACTGTCAGTCACCGCTCCCCGCAGGGATTCCCCTCTCTGTTCCTCCAGCGATGACTGGAGGAAAAGACAGGGGAGGGGGCGGGTACAGCTGGCTCTGCCTCTACAAATCCCAACATGCATCCGCCTCTGGGAGTTATGTCTGTGGCTGTCAGAGCTCTGCAATGCCTCATGGGACTTGTAGTTTCAAAACGGCTGGCGTGCCAAGGTTCGCCACCACTGGTCTATAAGGTGACTCCTGTCGAGGGATATGTGCCCCATTTTTCCTGACAAATGCCTAGACTCAAACAGGAGTGCCCTGGGGCCCCGGCAAAATCTTTGCTGTGTGCTTAACTTTCTGGTTCCTCTCTTTGCAGTGCATTCTTCATACATCCCTATGTACAAACCACCAGAGATTGGCAGCAAAATATGAAAATACCCAGAATACACTAAGCAGAGAGGATCATGAAGATCATCTCACATCAGACCCCTCTGTTTTCCCACAGGTGGGGATTACATTTTAGGGTGTCCAAAAAGGTAATGTTTTGACAATAAACCCATCAAATGAATTATAAATTTAAAAAAAAAATACAATTGTAATTTTTGGCTAAAGCCAAGCTCCACCAATTTTTAAGGTTTTTGAGTGGGAAAGCATTAAAATAGCTGTCAGGCGAGTAGTAACAACGAAAATCTGGATAATGAGTGTGCATTAAAGGGCCTAGACTGGTGGTGAGAAGTTCAATGTTATATAAGAAGCAATGATATGATAGAAAAAAATGTATGATGAACGAGGCGGGCAAGTTCTTCATAACAAGAAAGAAATCAGTTAGTATAGACATGTAACTGTAGTAGGAGTAAGGAAGGTGAAGATAGACTGATGATGAGAGGAGGGAGGCATTCTTGCTCTCTTATTATTGCAATGTTAATTCACTGTGTTAAAAACAATTCCATCGGTCATTAATTTCATTGGTTTTAATTTATAATACCAAAATGGCCAGCACACCTCAAATACCATATATTAAAAGCAGAGGTGTTAGTAGTTGATATTTGCTATATGCTACTAACACCTCTGCCTTTAACACACAGAGGGGGATTGATCAAAACTAGGAGAGAATCTGGAGCAGTTGCCCATGGCAACCAATCTGCATCTCTCTTCAGTTTGCTCAGGTAAGATTTGAAAATGAGACAGAGAAGCTGATTAGATTTAGTCTGCTCCAGTTTTGATAAATTCCCCCCACAGTGTTTTAGGAGTGCTGGCTATTTTAGCTTTAGATTTATACAGTGCCACCATTGGCCATGCAACCTTACTACACATATTTTGGGCAATAGTGTGGGACAAAATGCTGAATGTTAGGTTTTAATTTCAGTCTCTGACCTCATTTGGGAGGTTTTCCTTACTTCCTGTACTGGTGACAACTCCTCCCTAATTTCTTGTTGTGGTGTCACAGGGACCGGAAGTCAGCCAGCAATAAAAACATAACCAGTTGTTCAAACCCTTCCCCAATCTATAAAAGAAAATGTTTTGGTTTGGTTCACCATTGGAGAGAATTCCAATTACTTCCAGCCCTGTGTCTTTGCTATAGAAGCGACAGCAATAAAACCTGGCTAAAACCCTTCTTTAAGGCTGGGTTCACACAATTTTCTGGACCAGATCTGGAACACAGTGCAATGCACAGGACAAGCAGTATTTTTTCTGGTCTGGTCTGGACTGGAATGGACTGCGCTGGTGGGAACATAGGCCAGAAATAGCATAGGGATACATTAGGATAAATTTTGGGTCCGGAAACAGTCTGGTCAGGAGGTAATCTGGATGTGGTGTGAATGGGCCCTCAAACAATATAAATCTGCTTGACTGGAGTTGGACTTTAGTAATCTGCATTCCCATGCAATACTTCCGAGACAAGGAAAAACTCCTGTATTGGGGGTGCAATATCATTATTGATTCCAGGATTCAATATGAGAGTTTTTGTGTCTGAACACTGCATATTAGAATCAAAACATACAAGTGATTTTTTTTTCCTGCGTAACAATAAATCTGCTTTAGTAAAATAAATAAGGTTCATATTACTGCCAAATAAAAAGGATATTAAAGTTAACACACGGCCCCAGAGAACGTGGCCTGTAGATCTGTGTTTGTAATGGTCAAGGAACTGTGTGACCTCTAATATCCTCAGATCATACAGCAGACAGGTCAATATACTGTGTGTATTATTGGTGCATGTCTTATATATATGATTTTTGATCATGCTCTCTCCAAAAGTAAATGTTTCTATACACAAATGCCTAAAAGTGCAACTTGGATCTGAGAACTTTAACAAAGAAGAGAAAAAAGTGACAGCACATATAATTTTGTGGCAAGTAAATCACAAAAGATATAGTGACTAAAATGAAATAACAAATCCTGAATGTAATAGAGTAAACAAAATTCATAGTCATAGTGGCTCCTTCCCTAAACCCCAATAAGTAGTCACTCTGATGTTTTTTTCTTTTTTTTTTAATAGGACAGAGTAAATTATCATTAAAAAGAGAGACTTGAGCAGTGAAATGCTCCAGTCGCAACCCCATCCCTACTCACTACTTGTGCAGTGACAAAATTACTTGTATCTTTCCCAGAGAATACTAGGTGATCTGATATTGGAGGAGAAGAGATGATGACATCATGGAAAATACAAGGCATTTTGTGAATGGGCAAGTAGTGAAGAGGGGCTGGAATGCAACTAGAGCACTTAACTGCTCAAGGTGAATTGCTCACTCCCTGGAGCGCCCAGAAGACCAGCATTATGTGTAGGGACCAGCATGCTGATAGGTATGAATGTTATACTTTGCAGCAGCCCTATGTACATAACAAACAGCTTTTAATGTTAATTTACATACTCTTTTTATTTCCCATTATTCTGCTTTAAACTCTGATTCACCACTTCTGCAAAGATTACGCGATTACTGCCCAGGGTTTCAGTCATGTTATTAGCTCCCATAGGATATCAAAAGCAGCAAATTCCTTAGTGATGATGTTTAATGACTTCTGAGCCCATGTACAACTTTTTAACTGTTGTCACACTTAAGTTATATTTACTGTAACAATGAGTCCTTAAAAGCGAGGTATAGGACCATCTAATCCTTAAATCACAACAAGGTTTTCTAGCAATCATCCAAATCTAGTCACAACTCATCATCCTTAAATTATTCTGGATTCCTTGCCAAAATATTACATATATTTCTATTACATCAAAATGAGGGGCAAAATACCTGTTAAATTTGACAGATAACACATTTTAGCAACACAGTGTAAACATATTCAATAAAGCCAGGGGAGAAGGCGGCTTAAAATCAAGAATTTATCTTTTCAGTCCTGGGAGAAATTATATTTTGACAGTTATTGTTAATTAAAGCAACATGGTGCGCTTATGATAAGCATCACTGAATAATGCTATAGATAAAGTGCTAATACAATTCTTGCCATAATCCATCGGCAGAAGTAGTATCTCACTTACAAAGAACAAAAAAGCTCCATTTACCTAGGGTGAACAATTGGCAAAGGCACCTTTGCATTTAAAATACTGGAAATATTTTAACAGTTTCAGAAAATATTTAAATATTTTCAGAAAATAGATTCTGAAAATATTTAATCACCAAGAGATGTGTAGCCACTACAACCTGTTTATTTTTGTGCCCTTGGTATGTTCCCCTGTCCTGGGGGGTTTTAAGTCATTTTCAGGCCTAAAATGTGGAATATAACATGGGTGCAAAAAATGAAAAAAAGGCCTCAGTCATGAAGGGGTTAAACATCTACCCTGTGTAAACATCTAGAAGCTTTGCAAGTGCTGCAGGGTGCCAGCATCTTGGATGTGATTTCAGCAGGCCCAGCGGACTCAGAGTTGTAATTCAAGTGAAATTCCATAGTATTCCCCTTTTCTACTCCCATGGCTTCTACATAAAAGGTTTTGTAGGGAGAGGACTAGGAGCTAGGCCAACAAAGACAGTAATCTGATCTGCAAGGATGGAGGGGGTTGTGCTAGGGAACTGACTCTTGCTAGAGTGTCACTTTCCTAGGACATTCAGAGGCACATTGCATTTCAATCAAAACTCATTTCTGGAAAGAAAACACTAAGTAAGCATTACAATAATCAAACAATCTGAAAAATGTAATGGTACACTCTAGTAATAATTTGAAAATAAAGTACTTTGTAACAAACTATAAACATGACTCAACCTACTAAGGGCTT